TTTACCCGAGATTAGTTAAGCTGATAAAAATGTTAAAATTCTAAACACTTGAAACTTTAAAATGTTCAATTTTAAACGTGTATTAAAGTGTTCAGACATGAAATCCAGGAAGTCATCCAATGATTTTAAAAATGACCTCTTGGCATGTATTATCAAAATCCAGTTTATAATTAAGTTACCTTAGGATTAAGGTAATTTACAAAATTCAAATGTTACTCAGAATTTTGCATACAAAAAATACTTCAGGATTATGTTTATGAATCACTAAGCCAATTTCTTGTACCAGTACATTTTAAAAATGGGTTAGGTTGAAAGTCTTCAGACAAACATGACCAAGTCATCAATTACTAAATTCAGTTTACAAATCACTTGAAAGTTTTGAACAGGCCCAAATTATATATTTAGATGTAAAAGAATCCAAGTCTTAATTATACAATCAGTGATTATTCTATACAAATCAAATTTAGATAGTTAAGCAAAGCTTCAGGCATTTAAATTTTGCTTAATCTGATTTTAGAGTACATAAAGTTGCCAATACTGCATCAGACCATATTATAAAATGTGAACTCATCCTATCTTCATGGAACAATTCAAAGATTGAATTTTCATCCTTGCAAAGAGGATGATAGTTTGACATTTTGAATAGTGCCAATGAGCAAGAATTAGTCATGCATTTTGCATGAATGCCTATATGATCACTAGTAACTAAAAAAAATAATGTGCTAAGTTATGCAGAATGTACATGCGTTTGCATGATAAAATTACAAATTGAAGTTGTAAAAGCTGTCACCTCATGAGTTCATTGTTACTAATTCACTTTGAAGGCACTACAAGGAAAGTGAAGGTTAAGGACCAGATTCAAATAATTCATATTTGGGAATAAAAGTGATAACGCTTAAGTACTTCAAGCTCGCATCTTCTAAGTTTTTAGTGTTAAATTCAAATGCAAAGATGTGCTGCTGTCAGACAGCAGCAGTGCAGTCTGGGCATGCGTGCTTGAAGTCAAAGCATCTTTCCCTCATTAATTTTTTTTTTAACATTTACAATTAAAGAATTTTAAGATTTTACTTCATCTGGCGAACGGCTAACGTCAATTTTGAGTGGATTCATTCAGTATTATTTGAAAACTTTAAATATTCTCACCGGAAACATTTAGAAAACACTAAGTAGCTTACTGAAACGGAATTAGTATCTATTTATGACAAGTCAATTAAACTACAATCGCTTTTTTTTTTTTTTTTTAGACGGCGAAAACTGAATTTATGCATGCAAGCAGTTGGAGTAAAAGTAAAACTGAAGTCTAACAAGTATCCCCCACACATATACTCAAGACTATCCAGGGGTCAAACAGTTCAGCTATTGACCTTAAACTAAAACGAAACAAAAGAAAATTGTTTCTAGAATTTCTGTACCCTCCGATTTCATTTTCGCGTGATAATTATACAAACAGCATCATTTAATTAATGCGTTAATAAAATTAAATTGTTATAGAGAGAAAGATTTGACCCTAATCTTACGTCCTTTCTCCTCAGAGTAGGAAGCACATGGATTTAATAGGGCGCCGCCATCTTTTCCTGTAACAAAGATGTCTGTATTATTAAGCCTTACTGAAAAAGTAATTAGAAGACCCCTCTCCAACTACTGGAAGAAATGCTAACTTATTAGTAATCTTAACGCTAAATTGATTTAGCGTTTTTTACCAGACGTCCAATAATTAAAAAAGTGGGGGATATTAGTTCACACGACTAAGATTGGAAAGCTGATTTTTTTAAATATCGAAGCACGTTGTCATTTACTGCAGTTTTCAACAAGGTTGACACTGATTCGCAGTATCGTAAACGAGGCGAAGATGTTTAGACAAAAAAAAAACGCTTCTAATAATGAAAACCAATGATCGGGTATCATTCATCAGAAAAATAGATGAACAAACACTGAACAGAAATCTTCATGAAATAAACTAAACATCTCTAGTTCATTCCATACATCAAGGTTAGGCGTTCAAAAAAATATTTTCAGAGCATCAGCTTAGGTCTGCCGTTCAGATAGTGTGAAACTAGCAAATACACCTATTGTTGCATTTCCATACATATTTAAAAATGTTATAGTCCATAATGCTTCTAGCAGGAAGATAACAGAGCTGTAGTGAAACGAGAACGAGTGTACGGATGAATAGTACCGTGGCCGCCTACGTTTAGTTTACACTTAGATTTCACAATTGGTAATATTCAAAGATACATTCGTATATTTAGATACCGAGGAAACATTGCCAGTTTTTTTTTTTTTTTTTTTTAGTCAACAAAAAACGAAAAATAAAAGGAAATTGTTAGATAAAAAAAATTAAAAATATGTCTACAAGTAGTGCTCCGGTTAAATAGTTGCCGATTTACAATATACACGCTGCAGAAGTCACTGAAGTTATGAATACTTTAAGACTCATAATTAGCAAAATTCATTTTACTGCTAAATCATTATTGCAGCAATACAAAGACCAAACAGTATTAGTCGCCATTGTGAAAGATTTTAGAAGCGTGTACCCAGTAAAAAAACAGTATCATGTTTCTTTCACGAAGTAGAAATTCACCTCGAAACAAGCGACAAAGTGAAGAGATTTTAGCCAAACGTCTTAGTTTATTTGATATAACAAATGCATTTGTCAAACAGGTCGAAGACAAAAGTTAATATATGGAAGTCTGAGGATTTAACAAATTCCTGCCTTTTGTATTTACGTACGTATAGCATTAGTTACGTATAACAGTGTAGATTTGTACACCGTGGAGTTTATAACGAGCGAAAAATAAAATACTATGGTACTTCAATACACAAATCGGGTTTTACAATTTGTCAGTTTACACATTTTAAAAATATTTTAAACACGTTCAAGAATAGTGGATGCCAACAAAAATAAGATATCTGGGACAGCATGTAGTTTCGAATGAAAAAGCTAAAGCAGAATAGCTCAAGCAAGAGAAAGCAAACAGAAAGAATGATGGCGGTGCTGCTAGATGCTTGGTCTCATTAAAAATACTACAGTACATGTTCTTAAAAAAAATAAAGAAAAAAAAGAGGACAAAGAAATTGTAAATCGTCGCCAACGATGAAGGGGGGGGGCAGAATACCAGCCAAAGGGATAAGACTAAGAGTGCTACTACTAGAGTTTTTTTTTTTTTTTAAACTAAGATAAGATTCGGGTCACTAATCAGTGGTTTCATTAGTAACAGCCCTGACAGACAATAGTAGTAGAAATATCAGTAATGTTATGTCAATATTACTTACAGATACGAAATAAGTTATTTTATAAATAATTGTTTACAGAGTAAAAACAGTAAAAACATTTGGGTGATAAAAACTAAGTAGTGGTGAGAGGAAGGATCGTCTTCTACGCGGAAAGCAGCGTTTCCTGTGTTTATGTTTGCGTAATGTAACTAAACAAAATTTGATTTATGTAATTTTGATACCCCCCCCCACACACACACACTGTGTGCCCAGTTATAACCGAATAACTGTAGCAAACGTAGCATGACAGTATAGTTATCAGGATAAAAGTGGATAGTTTGTGTTGAGTACAGTATTTGACAAGACTACATAAAGGATTTGGCCATTTTAATGAACATTGACTATATTTAATGAATGTGGAATTTTAATTTCAGTATAAAAAAATATTGGAGATCTAAAGTACATTAAGTAGTAGTGAGGTATTTTTGTTGCAGTGAATAATAGTTAGAAGTGTAGTAGCGTGTATGTAGTACTGACATCAGGCTAGTAGTCGTGATGCGTGCTTGTAAGTAGACAGATGTCCCAAAATGGTTATGTTCAGCTACCTTAGTTCACTGGTGCTTGGTAGACGAGACGAAAAGCCAAGAGGAAAAGGTAACGTGTTTCGTCTGACAAAGAACTCACTGCCGAGAAGTGAAATGTAAACGCATTAATTTGTTTTGTAGAGTATACAAACACAGTAGAAACACTATCGAACTGTTACGAGAATGAAGGAGTTTTTTTTTTGTACACCAGAATTTTCTAGTAATGAGGAAAAGCTGATGCATAGAATTGAAGGCTCATGCTTAAAAAGCTACAATGCGTTAGCAAGTAATAAGAATGCGTTAGTAGCAAGTAATAAGATCGCTCATATTTGGATTTTCGTTTGTCAGTGTTCGTTTGTAAAGACATGAAAATTTGTTTAACCGATTTGTTTATTAATCCTTCAAATGAAAATCAACAATGGCTGGTTCGTTCATTATAGTAAAATGATATTTTTCATCGAATCGCGATACTGCAGCGTGAACGTAACGAAAGCTTAGACAAATCTGTTTGTGGCTACTACTACTACTACTTCCACCATCGTTGTTAGAGAACGAAGTGAAGCAGTGTTCGCATTTCCTGTTAGATACAAAGACGAGGCTAAACATTTCTAGGGATAAATTTAGTCATTGTCAACTAAATTTACAGTTTAGTGGAAATAGTTTCCATCTCGAGAAATTGTTTCACAATTAAAATACATGCTGTGTTTGACAGTTTCCTAAATAAATTTAGTGAAAATTAAAGCAGTGTCAGAATCTATCCTTACTCGTTGAAAAAGAGTATTAGCACCCCCCGCTTCAAGAGTCGCATAAATTCAGTAAGCGTTTAGGTTTTAGACAAGTTTAATAATACAATTTGTGAACTTGTAGGTGAAGTATTTTATTAAAATAGTAAAATATTTTAGATACCAAACATCTCAGATGCATAACCCATCTTACTCCTCAAAACAAGTTAGTCATTATTACTCAATAGTGCTAGCATTTCTAAGACTAGTTTTCAATTGTTTATACAAGGTAACGTTCAGTTAGAATTTTAACGAGTTTAAATAAGAGTTTAGTATTTACCAGATTTTCCATACTTAAAATAGGACCAAAAAATTTGACTTAGGAAATGAGAACAACTGGGTACTGTTGAAGATTTGAATTTACTTAAAGTAAAAGTACTTGTGTTTTGTGGAAATTTGTTCAATCAAACCAGCAACTCACCTTGTCTACCAACGATTTCGGCCACATGTTCAGAGCTCGGAACGGGAACACATTCCGTCATGTTAGCGCTGCGTTTCCGTGGTGCCGATTCCTCAAAAGTTTGAGCTGCAGTTGAGAGTCCGTTGGTGTTGGTGTCTTCATCAGCATTTAATCCAGCCAGCATCGTCAACTCCAGAGCCAACTGCATGGCGCGATGGTCTTCAAGACCCCCACTGTTAGCATTCATGTCTGCTGTGTACAGACTTGCAGGCATTACAAGACCAGGGACAGGAGAAAAACGACGAAGAAGGTGGTGGGGATTTAGATTTGTGGTCGCCTGGGACACAGGCTTTGGCAAGAAGAAAAAAAGCAGAAAAGACTGATGCTATCTGGGGTTAAATCTTTTGTGGTAGTAGTTGTGAAAGTGGGGATATTGTTGGTCTGTGGCGTCACACACAACTGGTGACCGTACATAGACAAGCACAAGTAGGCCGGGAAAGGGTTGGGGGAAGAGTGATTAACACAAATAGAAAACGATATTTTTTGTGAAGAAAATAAAACGCAAGATCTCCCTCCTCACACTTGCTGGTTGTGGAGCTTATATATATATATATATATATATTTTAGGTGTGGATGTGGAAAACTTATCCGATGTTTATCAATGAAGATAAAATTTTACTTGAGAGTGTGAGAAGGGAAAGGTCGCGTTTTATCAACTTTGAATTTCTTGTAAGTGACTGCTTGTTTACATATATTTTCCCTTTGTAGTTTAGATTTATTTAGGTATGATAAAATCCGCAAAAATATAAGGGAGAAATGGATATAATATAGGTTTTATATAAAGAAATGTATATATAATGTATATTTTTATATTTAGACAGATATATATTATATATACACACACATACACATCAAGCTAACTTCAAAACGTTTACGTTGAAGTAAATTCGTCTTTGTTCCCGTTATCGTCGACTTTCCGTGTTTGATTTTCCTTTCCAGAATTTGGGTAACAGGTCTTGGTGAATTTCCTTAAGAATTTGGTAGTGATAGTGATTTTTCTTTGTTATTTGTAGTAAAATGATTGCATGGATTTTATAAGAAAGACTACATATATTGTAGAGATTTTTTTAAAGATATATCCTTGGCTGAAGTAATAGAAGTTGGTGGGATTTGATGATGGTGGTGTTGCTTGTTGTGTGGTATTTTTCCCTTTCGTGTTTTTTTTTTTTTCTTCGTCGTCGTCTTGTTTGTATTTTCACTCCTTCTCCTCAACACACCAACAACAACAAATGCCACACAGCTGCCTTCGCCGCGGCATCGAAATCCGACTGACGAGCACCGACCCAGGCGCAGTGCACAAAAGCAATTATGGCCGGGGTCTGACGTCATCCAGCCGAGACATCAAGATGGTATGCAAATGAAGGCCTCCACTCTCGGTAGCTATGATTGGCTAACTAAGCACCACGTGATCTTAAGTGGGTGTAACCCAAATACTACATCTGACGGTCAGAGAAAGAGAAAGAGAGAGCTACACTGAGAGAAAAAGAGTAAAAGAAAAATATAAGCGAGAAGGGGCGGCGGCGGCGTAGTAGTAGTAGTAGTAGTAGAAGAAGAAGAAGAAGAAAAATGGCTAGATGAATAGGAGAGTAAAACAGTGATTGAAAGGACGATGAAAAATGCTTATCTTGAAGAGAAAAAGAACGAAAAATTAAAAAGATAGACAAAGAGAAACTGGTGCTAAAAATGAAAAGGAATGGAAAAAGATCGTACTACTACGAAGGAAGACTATCGAATGATCACGCTTAATTAAGAAGGGTGGGCGGGAAAAAAAGGAATAAGTGTAAGAGAAAAAAAGACGTGAGAAAAATAGAGAAGAGGGATGGATTTAAGAGTTTCAGTATCGAAATATAAATAAATAAATAGGGGGAGGAGAATGAGTAGAACAAACGGTGGAAGAAATGAATGAGATGCAACTAAAACTGGGAGTAACTTGAATACAATTAAGGAGAGGAACGAAGGATGCAAGAAGGGGGAACAGCAACACTGAAAACTTGGTAATGAAATTAGAATTAAACATGCGCTACTACTTAGCATTTTTTGCCAGCAAACTCGTATTAGTTGACTGAAAATTACCATATCCCTTAATTTTATCACGAATGTAACATTTTTTTTTTGTATTTCTACGTAATTATTTATTAGTCAATTTTATTTTAATCCCCTCCAGTGTTTGTCGCTGATAAAATGTACAAATACAATTGAGAATATGCGTTCATTTTTTTCATTCAATGCCCATATGAATAAAACTGTTTAGTTACTTATCGTTTCTTAACAACAAACATGGACGATGAAAAAGAAAGCTTACAATCAATACATTCACACACACGTGCGTGTGTGTGTTTGTAAAGAAAGGAATGCATCTCTAACTCAATTTCCAAAGTACTTAAGTCAATAAATAAAACTCCAGTTCATCTGCAAAAACGTCTGATAGACAAGAATAAATATCCCTCCTCCACCTTTTTCTTCTTCTTCTATTATTATTATTATTATTGCAATGATTATACAGACTACGACGATAATAATAATAATAGTAGAGGCATTTCATCTCTTTTCTTTCATTATCATCTCCTCCCATTTCCTTCTCAGTCTGAGCGGAGTTGATTCAAAAATTTGGGCCGAACTGCGGACAGTGTTAGAGAATAAAGAAGTGGGATGAACAAAAAGGTGTTGGTCATTGAGGAAAAAATATAACCTCCCACCCTTCCCCTCTATTTTATGTTATGAGAGTGAGAAAGAATGAGTGGGTCGAATAAGAAGAATAGGTGGAGCAGACATTGAAGGCTGGTGTCAGAGAAGGGACGATGGAGGTGCGTTTGAAAAAAGGGAGAACAGATAGACGAGGGTCAATAGCTGTCTTCACTCATTCGGTAGTGGTGTTGTGGGCTACATAACTGTCTCTGTGTTGAAGTGATGTGGATGAGAAGATTTTTTATTTTCAAAATTAGAAAAAGGCTCCACAGGTACACGCACTCGCATAGATATACAGGAAATGCATATTATGATAGAAATAAGAAATAGGAATACAACTGAAAAGAAAAAATTCAAACAAGAGGAAGCGAACGCATATCATTTAGACAATGATAGGCCTGTCGCCTGGAAATCATTGTAATTGACGTTCATTCGAGAAGTAGGTACACAAGTCTTTGTGAAGGCAGCATGCAAACCCACATACATCGATATAAGAATCAGTTCGCCCTTGTGTATACACCTTCATGTGTGTGTGTGTGTGTGCTAGTCACAATGTAGAAATATATGCATACAATCTTTAGTCAATAAAGCTTAATGCATCATTTCAAATTTCGCATATGCATACGAGTATATTTTAATTCTTCACAAACATCACCGTAACAGAAGACTCTGTCATGAAGTTAGCAACTTGCAGAGACTTACAGCCTTCAGTTTGATCTTCACTGGATATCAGAAGCTTTTGACCCTGTGCCAGACTAATTGAAGCTTTTAACAAGAATATACGATCACGCAAGTAAATACACACGTCGACCGCATTAGTGTGTACTAGACGCTAACAGAACTTTGAATATTTCTACATTAAACATACTCAGGGTTTTATTATACACAATGTATTTCGTTTAAGTGTTGGCGCTTACAAGTCGGTGTGTTTGGGTGCACGACGGGGTGTATACGTGCATGGTGTGTGTCTGTGTGTTGAAGCTATAAATGCGTGTGAAAGAAGCGACTGGTGTATTGAATTAAACGAATTGCATGGTGTCTGTGTGTGCGGTATAACTGCGTGTTCGTACACTTACTGTTCAGTTAGTGAATGTATGCGTGTGCATGTTCATAGAAGCCTTGGTTGAAGATAATTAGCTGAAAAAAATATAAATACTTCAAATATGACATTTTCATTTTAAAACAAATGGATATGCACAATTGTATACTGCATGCACGTGTGTTAATTCAAACTTATTTTGTCTGCGTGTTTATTTTATTACTCTCACTCAGATTAGTATCAGCTGCATAGCATAGGTTTTGCTGCTAGAAAATGCAACAACAATCTTGTTAATGATATATTAGAAAACAATTTTAGAATGATGCCTATTAAATATGTTCTCTTATCCTCCATAGTAATTTCATTCTCATTTTTAAAAAGCAAAAAAAAAATCATAAAACAGTTAAATTTGACTTTTTTGCTATTCCTCTCTTCCTCTTTCTTTCTTATTCTTTCTCTTTTACTCTCACACGCATGCGCTCTCTCTCTCTCTCTCTCTCTCTCTCTCTCGCTCTCTTTATTCTTTTTTTTTAATGTATTCTTTTGAGTTTCAGTCGTTCTTTCATTGCTCCTTTATCTTATCGTCTGCCTCTCCAACACACGATCTTTTCTTTTGTAATTTATTTCTCATTTCTTTTTTTTTTTTTAACTTTCTCTCTTTATAGAGTAAATACAAAGTTTAAAGTGAACCTTTTCTTCATTTGTTTTTTACTTCACTCTTTCTCTGTCAGCTTCTTAATTTGTGCTTTTTCTCTACGTTATCATCGTTCTATCATTCCTATATTTCTCATATTTTTCATTAATTTTCTTTATTTTTAAAAATTACACACAAATACTCTACTCTCCTTCCCTAATTCTCTCCCTTTTCATTCTGTTCTTATATGCCTCACAACTTAGTCGATCTTCACCCCGCCTTCTGAAAAACCGATATCTTGTCTCCTCACACTCCTTGCGAATCTCTGTTCTTACAACAGTCGGTCTCCACCCATTCGCCTTTACTCCACCCCCTTCACCCCACCGCTGCCTCCCAGCCGTTGGATGTGGGACCGGTCGAGATGAAATCCGAGCAAGCTTCATCACCAATCCAAAAAGGATTACAACATTTTGGGGTAAGTTAACAAAATACAAAGATAACAGCGTTACTCACTCGTATCCATGTTGCTTCAGCAGATTTATTCACTTATAATTACACATAACTCTCCTTTAAATTGTTCATTAATCTGTACTAGCTAGGTAATACGTATATACATCCACACACATGTATGTATGCGTATGGAACTTAGTGTGTGTATGTTCAAATAAAGGTATATATTGAATCCTTGTAAAACGCATTACGGGCGTATGATAAATATTGAAATAAGTAAATACACATATAGCCACATATATGCTGTGAACATCTGTTTAAATGTATATGCACACAACCAAATGTGTATAGTTCTTTTTGTACATACACATCTTCACATTACGCGCGTGCGTATACAAACACACACACACATATATAATTAGCGTATATAAAGGTTCATACAATAAGGTATTACTTGTGTTCAAAAGTTTGTTCCCAACAT